GTGGGAAATCCACAGGACTTCCCCAGTGCACAGGCAGGATCAGCCACCAGCCATTTGTGTGACATATTGTAGAGATGATGCAGGGTGCAGAGAACACGTGAGTTTTTAAATACCACTTTAGCAATCTTTCTCATTAATCCACCATATTACATATGAACAAACAAGATAAAAGATTTTAAAGCTGAAGCTAAACAGCATAGCCTTGTCTGAAATGGAGGGTTGGCAACATTTTCTGGCCCGTCATAGCTGTCTTTCTCCCTGTGAAACAGGAGGCTGCAGGGTTGTGGAAAGGTCCAGCAGGAACCATTGAGAAAGCTTCACACATCCTGCCCTTTAATCCAATCAGGATTTTTTCTCTCTATAGGAAGTACAAAGAATTACTTCTGTCATGATTTTATTTTATACAAGTTAATTGCTGTTAAATTCATGCCTAAACGTGTTTGCTTTTGTGAGGTGGAGCTGGGCACTGCATTTTCTGCCTCACTTCCAAGTTGTTGATCCTTTTTCTGCATATTTAGCTGCTAATCTTGTTTCAGGAACCTGGTAAACTTCAGGAATCTCTACAGGTTTTTGTGTTCAGTGCACAGCAGCACCTTAATGTGGCAGAGCATTACAGGGACAGAATGCATTCTGAGCCTGTTCCTGTAAAGCCTCTTGGCACACATAATGATAAGGATGTGAGCAAACCCTGCAGGCCTCTGGGGCGACAGGACTGTCTGAAGCAAAACTCCTCCTTTTAGAGATAAAAAAAACCAAGGAGAGCAGTCTGAAAAACGCAAGTATTTACATGCAAGTATTTACACACCTGCTGCTTGCTTGCGTGATTGACAACCGAACTTCAGCACCAGGACTCTCCTGGCCTTCTCTTACTCTTCCAGCCATGCTGTTGGATGCCATTAGTTACTTACAGAAATCAATTCTTTTTTCATCACCTCATGTCCTTGGTTCGTGTTGATGGTTGCAGCCTGCGCTGGCTCACAGCAGCAGTAGGGAGACTGCAGGCTGCCTCCTGGAGGCTGCCACAAATCACCCATCAGCTCAGCGAGGCCCCATGCCACCACGTGCAGCCAAATGATGCTCTCAACAGAAAAAATGATCGTTGCAGACCTCACAGAGCAGAGCTGAGGGCTTTGGGCTCTGCGTTGCAAAAATGCGAGCAAGTCCTACGATATCTGTACTGTCAGTTTAGTCAATAAATGTAGATAAATTCGTATCGCTGTGTGCATGTAAATGCAATTTCATGTTGATGTTACTGCAGATTAGAAAGCTGTAGGAAGCTAACTGATCATTGATGAAATAGTCACTTGGAGCAGCTACACGTTGGTTTGAATACTTAGGAACACACAGAACAAGTAACTCCCAGCAGGTCAGCACTCATCTGCACTCAGATGGTTCTCTCCTGGGTAAAGGGGATCTGTCTTTCCTCGCAGGAAGGGTAAGGCAAAGGAATGCGATGGGATTTAGCGTAGCACCTCCTGGCAGTGTTGTTACCTCTTTTGCTTTGTGTTACTTTGCACATTTTTCTAGTGTACCACTCTTCTTTTTCATCAAAATACACAGACATGTTAAAGCCTTTTAAGTAACACACACACACACAATTTAAGTAGAAATCTCAAAGTACGTCATCTCTTCCAACCTGTTAAGATACGTCAACATTAATTCATTCGGATGTGTTTTTGTTCTGTGCTTGGCAGGCACACCAGTTTGTTGGGTGAGATGTGCTGAATTGATCAGAATAGTGATTTGTAACACTAATGAATTTTCAGTCTTCCTTAAATAAGCAAATAGTCATTTGAGGAGTGTAGACCCCACACATATTCTAGAGAACCAGCACAGCCTGGGGATGAGCCTGACTGCTGGATCTGACTTATGCTCTAGCAGCAGCTGCTTGCAGCCCAACTGCTCCAAACTTCCTTTCTCAGAGGTTCACAACTTGGCTTGAGTTGGGCTGATTTTCTCAGATAGGATGCTGCTGAATTTCAGATTCCTGCTTAAGAACAAGATGGTGCTAGAGGTCTTTGACAAGATGGTCACTATTTTCCTTATTGAGGATATAGTGAGGACAGAACTGAAATCTTTCCTGGTCTCCTTTTCAGAAGCAACAGAGTCATTTTGGTTGAAGTTATTAAAGCAGAAATTCAGAGTGGAAAACATCAGTCTGTCACTTAGAAGTTGACACTGTTATAAGCAAGTGAAAATATCCTCTAATAAGAATTGTTGGCGAACTTGAGGAATGTTACCACCCTATCTCTGCCAATAAAAAAGTTTGTAATAGAAATGTTTGCCCTTTTCAGAGTGAGAAAGTAGGAGAAAAATAAAAAGGTGACTTCAAGCATTAAGGAATAAAAATATTTTCAAGTGAATAGCTTGATGTCTGACTGGCAGGTTTATTTTAGAAAGCTATTTTTATATAACACCATTGGGAAAAATAAGCCGGATGATGAGCTATCACTTTATTTTTTAATAAAAAGTAGCTTATTATCCATGCAAGCATTGTCACTTATAACTACAAAATTGTCTGAGGAAACTTTTAAGATCCCCAAAATCTTTGCAAAGAGGAAAGGTGCAAATGACACAGCTATCTTATTCATACTACTGCTCAATTAGGAATTTTTCTATTGAATTAAATAGTCCTCCAAATGTGACTCAGGTTCTGCCTTTAAGTTTAAGTGGCTGGATACATGGCAATATGGGAAAATGTTGGTTTGCCCAGTCAGGAATTGAAACATATTTTACACTGAAAACAAGTCTCTGAGGTCTGTAGACAGTGCTGTAGTGAGGTTCCCTAATGCTAGGATAGTGATTAGTTGGTTAAGTGAAGTAGAAGGAACATGACAAGTATCTCTATTGTAAGTGCAGTTGATAGCTAGTGAATAATTACTACCATTGCAGAAAGCTGAAGTGTTCTTATTAAATGGAGTTTACATGTAGCTCTTCTGAAATAGTCTAAGACTGTAATTTCTTTTGCACTTCTGGCATCCCTGCCCTCCTGAGTCTTCAGCATTATAGTTGATCAATCTGTGCAATGGATAATTCCATTCAAACTAGTTCTGACAAGTAGCTTAGAAGGCAGGTCATTCTAATATGATTGCCATACAAAATGACCAGAAGTCAGTTGAATTACTTTTTTTTTTAATTTCCTTCGGGAAAGGTGAGAAGCATTGATACCACATACATGCAGCTTATTCTTGTTTCTTTAAACTTGTACATGAATTTTAAGGGTTTACCAGCTAGTGACTTTTTAAAGAAAATAATAAAGTTGTGATAATGAGAATTGCTATTCTGCAGCATTATGTTCATATTCATTTCTATCTAATCATATGCTTTCTAAGTTTTAGTCACAGTGTGCGAATTACGAGGGTATTTGTCATAGCTGTGTATTCTACACACGTCTTGGGTTTGGGTTTGATCACAAATGAAGAATTACAGACATTTTAGGATAAAATCAAGTAAAATAATCTTGCCTGGGGTGTGAAAAAATGGTCCTGTTTTTCTCATTGTCACTTTCATTCTTATTTGATTCTTTGTATAAGTAAGGCAGTGTTCTTCAGTTTTTCACCTTTCCAGCTTAACCATTCCTTGCAAAATGTCATTACACACATAAACGAACAAAACATTACTCAAAAGTATAAACATTTCAGGAAGGCTGAATTTTAAAAACAAGTAAGGGTCTTGTGAGATGCCAGATTGCTCAGATGACAGATTCCACTTCTTTGCTTCCATCTTAGCAGTGGAAAACATTTTATTCTAATGCTGAATGGATCCAGATAATCATTCTACATAATGCTGCAAGGAACCTTTAGGTGATAGTGTATTTTTGATTGCTTAAATGTAATCAAATTTCTAATTTAATTTTTGAAAGAAAGTACTTAATTTTCAACAAGGCCTTGGTTCTGAGATCTACTGAATTTAGCAGAGGAGAGTTGCAAAAAAAATGGCGTTATGTACTTGGCCTGGTGCATTAAATAGTGGTCTTATTTTAAAAAGCTTAGTTTAATGGAATGAATCATTTAGGAAATTCATTGTGAGTTTGCTAGGTGAAGTTCTTATTTAATTAGTGAACCAGTTTTTGCCAGTTTCCTTCACTAATCAATTTAAGATTGTTTTTCAGAGAAGAGCAAGTGATATCCTTAGATCTTAGATGCATGCTAAATGTGCTGGGATGTATCAGCACTGACATGGTGCCTGCAAATAGCCCTAGAAGGAGAGAGCCCCTGCTAGAAATCTGATTTTGTCTATGGTAGGCACATGTTCAGTAAGAGGGCAAGTTGTGCCTTGCATTTTGCAGATGCTTCTGCCTCTCAGCCAGCTCAGCTGTGCAGACCAATCCATCGAGGTGAAGCCACACTTCACCAACACCTGGCAATTAAACTGGTGAAAAATGATTTGGAAAGCTCTTTTCTGTTGTGACCAGTGATTCTGTTGTGGGGAAGAGATGTGTCTTTCTGCTTTATGTTCCTGACTTATGCCAGAGATTCAGTCATGACTATTTCCTCCATCTAATAAAATTGACAAAAACTGGCTATGCCTTGATCTGGGCAGTTGCCCAATATTATAGAGTTCTGTGAATGAAATAATATACTTAGAAGGTATAGCTGCAGTTTTCTTTCCCTACACCCGATTCCAGAGGATTTCATGGCACCAAAGAGTGATTTTCCTTCCAAATTTTCTAAGCTGCTCTGTCAGTCCAATTTTCTGCTTCATGAAGAAATGTTGTCAACTGCTGTTTTCACAAGGAAAGCTCCTTCTGCTCAGCTTACGTATATAAAAGTCAAGGGAATACTAACTGCCCTTCAGAGTCCAGGACTGCTGTGGATAGTGGGTGGCTGTTACATTTTCTTCATCTTCGTAAGACTCAAAGCCATATATTTGCTTAGTGTTTCACTGATTTTAAGACACAAAATATGCAAATAATTTCTGTTTTGTTTTTAACTACATTACTCACTACAAAGTGCATGTTTCTTACAGTTAATGTCATTTATTTTTCTTCCACATCTAAGCTGGATAATGCAGATGAGCAAGCAGCCCAGATCAGACGTGAACTAGATGGACGTCTGCAGCTGGCCGAACAAATGGCAAGGGTAAGCATCTGCTTTTGTACACCAGAAACATACCTTCAGAGAGTGAGTGAGATGGTGATGTGAGTGGGCTGATACATAGTTTGTGTTTCCAGTTTCTCATTCTGAAGCTGACCAGAATGCCTGGCAGATGCATTTCTTTCTTCTGTGGAGAATGTATGTCAGTAGGGGTAGGGAGGAAGTAAAAGTTGTTTTCAAAGGTTGTATTCTGTGTAATCCTTCCATTCCTTCATCAGCAAGGCCAGGGGTGAAAGAAAGGGTATATTATCTGCACTTTTGGGAGTATGTATTTTGTAACTGAACTAGATTATATTTTATATACAAAATGCATTGTGCAACCCTGACGGTATAAACATGTTTATGTCTTACTACATGCTGTATGTAATATAATTTTAAGCATATAAATTATAGTTTACATTTCCAGTGGAAGTCAAAGTTTGGAATGCACTGGAAGTAGCAAAACTATGAGTGAAGCTTGTAGGTCAAATTAGTGATAATAGGGTAATTTATAAATTATTGTAAGTTTTAGAAAGCCAGAATTGTTTTTTTCTGTCATATAGCTTGTATTTTGTTTCCATGAGCAAGATTATGCCCTTCTATCTTAAATACCACAGGTAGGATTGTTACTGTCCCTGGCCATATCCTCTTAGAGGCTTTTTCGAAGAAAGACTACCAATCTCAGTTCTCTTCAGTCTTCAGTGAAGCCTTGGATTATAATCAAAGATGTCTGCTAATGCTGTGTTTGTTCTGTGTCCTTTTTGCCTGTAGCTCCAACAGTAAAAAAATATTGTGTATTATCGCATGTACGTGCAGAGAACAGTATATTGTATTTACACAGTACAATTTTAAAGCCTTCACAGAATCACAGAATCAAAGAATGGCCCAGTCTGGAAGGGATATCAAAGATCTCCAACCCCCCTGCCACAGGCAGGGCCACCAACCTCCCCATTTAATACTAGACCAGGCTGCCCAGGACCCCATCCAACCTGGCCTTGAACACCTCCAGGGACAGGGCATCCACAACCTCTCTGGGCAGCCTGTTCCAGCACCTCACCACTCTCTCTGTAAAGAACTTCCCCCGACAGCCAACCTAAATCTTCCCTCCCTCAACTTCAAACCATTTCCCCTTGTCCTGCAGTTATCCACTCCTGATTCCCCTCCTGTTTGTAGGCTCCCTTTAGGTACTGAAATGCTGCAATGAGGTCACCCCACAGCCTTCTTTTCTCCAGGCTGAACAAGCCCAGCTCCCTCAGCCTGTCTTCATAGGGGGGAGGTGCTCCAGTCTCCTGATCATCTTTGTGGCCCTCCTCTGGGCCACATCTCCAACATCTTCCTGTCTTACTTGAGCTGGGGACTCCAGACCTGGACACAGTACTCCAGATGGGGCCTCACAAGAGCAGAGTAGAGGGGGACAATCACCTCCCTGTCCCTGCTGGCCACCCCTCTTCTGATGGAGCCCAGGATCCCATTTGCTTTCCGAGCTAAGGTTTGCTTGTTTATTTGAAATGAAAAATAAATGGTTATTTAGGTCAATAAATTTCATAAATAAGAATCTGGAGACATAAACTTCCTTTGAAATTAGAAAGCATAAAAGTATTGAAATAATTTTAATACAGATGAAAATTATGAGCATGATTTAAGCCATATACATTTTCATATCCTAGCTAATGTACGTACACAGACTGCGTACCAGTGGCTTTCAATCAGTGGTTTTCTTTATGGAAAGATTTTGTTTTGAAAATTCTCATGGTTTCTACAATGCCAATTGCACAGTTTGTACAGAATAAGGAACTCCATTCTTACATGGTATATCCAAGTCAGAATTATCACATATGTTTTTAAAAATTACTTAAACTGTATGTATGTGTATATATGTATATAAAAATTATTTTTTGCAGGAGATTCAGAGTTGGTTGTAGCTGCTTGATCCTAATTCTAGCAGCTGTAAGAATTAATAAGATCACCTAAACCTAAGCAGTCAAATGCTGCAAAACAGCTATGACCTTTCTCAAAAATGAGGCAAAAAAAAAAAAAATTGATACTTGATTGTGTATTCAAGCGTTTCTGTTGGTGAAAAAAATGGTTTTCAGTGATTACCTGCTTGGAAGAGAATTATTATGCTACAGTTTCAGAAGAGCAGCACAGCTAAAGGAAAATTTCTGCATGCAGTTTTCTCTTTTAATAAGGTCTTGTTCATGGTTCCTGTACAAGATTACTTACTGATTTTAAGATATAAGTTGTTAATTATATGCCATAAGTTTATTTTAGCAGAAAAGATCATTCAACCTACCTAAAGGATGTGAAAACCTCAGAAACAGCATTGATCCTCAGTAGCATAAAATCAACAGGAAATCTATGCATCCATTTGTCTGGCTGTTTCTTCACATGATTAAATTTAATTTACTTGAAATCAAAGTATGTACGATGCAATGGGATTTTCTACCTTTTGTAACTAGTGGAATTCTTTTCTAAGACAAACTTTTACGTGATTCTATGCAGAGGTTATCCAGTGTCTTTTCTGCCTGAGAACTGCATGCTGAAAATCCATGTTAGCACTCTGTCCAAATACAGACAGACCAATAAGGTTTTTGTGTCCATTGCCTCCCCAGGGTCTTTATTTCAGGACATATTTCTCATACATTCCAACAAAGGACCAGAGAGAGAGACAGATAACAACCAAAAATCACATGCTATTCTTCTTTGGTCTCTAAATTAGTATAAATATTATGTGCTATAGCCATTTGTTACAATTTCACTCTCTTCAAAAAGAAAATTAAAGGTGTGGGGTGATTCATAGCTATCAATGTCTTTATGGAGGATTCTCGCCTGTGTTTTGTGAGAGACAGAAGTAGCTACAAGCATTCAAGTTCTACAGAAATAAAGACATTGGTGTATGTTCTGGTGGTGCTGCCTGTCTTCAGTTATTGCAGCTTTAAGTTACAAAAGATCATAGTCATAAAAAAATCTGCAGGAAGATGTGCTGTAAGAAGCTTCCTGAACTTTTACACTGGAGTGGAGAAATAATCTTACAAAGAGAAAAGATCTTTTAACAAGTTAAGTCTTGTCCTTCTTCTCTGTTGGCACTGTGTTATTTGAATGATCCTCACAGGATAAGGTACAGTTTGATTTTGGTTTTAGGTGGGTTTTTTTTTGTTTGTTTGTTTTTGAGAGGGCCACATATAAACAGGAGAGGATATGTCTGTTTACAAGGGTGGATAGTGATAAGACAAGAGGAAATGGTCTTAAACTGAGACAGGGGAGGTTTAGGTTAGACACTAAGGGGAAGTTTTTCACACAGAAGGTGGTGATGCACTGGAACAGGCTGCCCAAGGAGGCTGTGGATGCCCCATCCCTGGAGGCATTCAAGGCCAGGCTGGATGTGGCTCTGAGCAGCCTGGTCTGCTGGTTGGTGACCCTGCACATAGCAGGGGGTTGAAACTACATGATCTTTGTGGTCCTTTTCAACCCAGGCCATTCTATGATTCCATGATTCTGCGACTAGAATATGCTGAACCTTACCTTAATTTGTTATGCTCTAACTACAAAATACTCTTTTATCTTTTTTTTTTCCATTTCAATTTTTAAAATACTGACTCTGTAATGTGATAACGAACCAGACTGGGAGATTTGCTGCAGGAGCTTTGGGTCACAGTTTGCTTGCCTGATCTTTGTTAGTGAAACAAAATCTACTGTAAAAGTTTTGACGTAAAATGCTTTAAGACATTTCTCCTAACAGCTAATGGTAAAAGTGGGTTTTAAGAGCAAGGTGCTTACCTTGACAGGCAACAACTGGGGAGTGATGTTTGTTTCTCATTTATGTATAAAGCTTATGTTTTAGAATAATATACATTCGTGGGCTCCCACATGCAACCTGGATTTAAGGCTAAAGGATTCTGGAGGGCAAGAGGTTTCTTTTTTACAAATGTCCCATTCTATTTTTGATGTGTTTTGTCTACTATGTTTGAGGAATATGATGGAAATCTCAATTCAAGTTACATTTCTTCTTGTCAAATTTACTGTGTGTATTAGACATGACTCGCCTTCCCATTACTGTTTTAAAATGATAGAAGTAGTTAAGAATTCAGACTTCTATTTTTATTCAATATCTAAAAATGAGAGCAAATTAGTAAATGAGTATGATCTGGAATGTGGCATGATTTTTTTCCTCTGTAATGTTTAAAATGTATCTTCCAAGGAAAGAAAATTCCCCAAGTTCATAACAAGAGAAATGGAGAACATGTACATAGAAGAGTTACGGTCTTCAGTGAATTTGCTGATGGCAAATTTGGAAAGTCTTCCAGTGTCTAAAGGTGGGCCAGAATTTAAACTGCAGAAGTTAAAGCGATCACAAAATTCTGCATTCTTGGACATTGGAGATGAAAATGAAGTTCAGCTCTCAAAGTCTGATGTGGTCCTCTCCTTCACATTAGAGGTAATCACATATTTCACAGAACATGTGTTGGCAGTTTAAATTACTGGAATATCTAGAATGCCTGTTTTCTTGGTATTTTTTATTGCTAATTCTTGCTAGACATTTTACACTACAGTGCTAGATTATGAATTGTCTCTGATAATAAGAGTTAGAGTGCAAATGTATGATGCACTTTCCTCTTGCAGCAGTAGCTGCATTTGGTTCCATGCAGCAATGTGGGAAGCTGAATCTCTCACATAACTGTATCTTTAGATGAATTCCACTACATTAGGTACCAAATAACAGAACACTTGTTATCACAACCTCATTCACAGAAGTTTACAAACAAGATGTTTTCTTACTGAAAGCATTTACAGAGAAAACCAAAAGCGTATTTTTGTGTGTGTGTGTGTTGGTCATAGCAGGCTGATGCTTATGAATTTCTTCATTTTCTTCGAGAAACTAGCTCATCTTTACTAAGGTTGTGCTGGAAGTGTGCTCTGCAGAAATGCAATCTCAATCCATATGGAGCTGAAGCCACAAATACACACAGTTACTTAAATGTAATGATGAGAGCATCATTTATCAGGTCCCGTTCTGAACATGTGAACATCAGGAAATGCTGATCTCTGTTTCTTGATAACAATAGAATCAAAATGTTTTCCAGAGTGCATATTGCATATTTGTCTGACAGAAGATGCCACATTTAAGTGTTATGCATTTGAAATGACTTCAGTTTGTTGAAGATAATGGATAATATTAAGGAATAAGTATTTCAATTATTAAATCATTTAAAGCAAATAAAAAGTAGCTATGTTTCTTAAACATTGTATTTTTACAAACAAATACCTTTTTTTCATGTAAGGTTTAGAATTCAGATCTAATTTTCATTGCCATGTCCAAAAAGACTGAGGTCTTCATTTAAGTACAGAAGATAAATTACTTATCCTGTTGTTTGCCATTTTGATATTACTGACTAATAATGTAGAAGACAAAAGTAAGGTTTTGAAGAGTAGTAACATCTATCCATCATTCCACACGCCATAAATTATTAGTTGGTCAGGCATGTAAAACAGTCTTAGGGCTGAATGCTGTGCAGCTCCATTGCATGCTGTGCCTCTCCCAAGTGGAATGCAGAGCATGGAGTGATGCCATCAACAGCAATAACATGGAAGCACCTCAAAAGTACCTGAAAAAGCTTTTCAATAATATGTATGTATTTTAATCTTCAAGCAAGTTTACTTGGTAAGGGTTATAGAAAGAAGAAGAGCTTTCTGTGGACTTTTAGATAGAAGTATTAAGTAAAAGTGACGTGATATTTGTAAAGAAAACAGCAAAGGATAGAAACAATCCTAAAATGAAAAACGACAGTAAATGTAATTTCCAATGAACTCATTACCTGTAGCAGTGTGGGTTTCTTTACTGTGCTGCACACCAGAAATGCAGACTGTTGGGTTTGCTGAACTCCAGGTTTTTTTGGCTGTTTCTTCAATACACCAAGGTTCTCAAGGTGTCTCTCCAGTTCATTTTGGGCAAGGCAGCAAAGAATTAGTATCATTCCACAGATAGCAGTTTTCAATAGGGGAAATTTTTGTTTTAAGCATGTTGTTAACCACGTAAGTCAAGTTTCTTGCCTGCAAAGTATGAGCTAATGTCTTATTCTTGGGAAGACAAATCTAACAGGTAAAAAGGGTGCAAAGAAAGAGCTGAGCTGATATCCATTTAGGCTGAAACATGGGAGATCTGCTCTCTTTTATGCAAATCAAAATAGGCAAACAACAAAACTTGACTGCATTTCCTTGGAGACAGAAGCCATTATTTCTGGGGAAAAAAAAAAAAAAAAAAGGATACATGCATAATTTTGTACTTCAATAAGTAAAGTAATCAGCCAAATCCCCACTGAAAGCTGCAGCACAGGTACATAAATGAAGAGGAAATAAATAGTGTGAGAACATTAGTACAAAACCACACTTACATGTCAGTAGACAGCAGGACTGTGTGGAGTGTTCATCTGCCCCTGCATTGCACTGTTAAGACAGAGCAGCAGAACATTTAAACAACATTTATATGTGCTTGTGGGGATGGAGCTTGTGCTCAAAGGTAAAAGACACTATTCCTGCCAGTTGGGTATTTCATCAAAGAGCTTATCTGCAGAAATTTGTATCATAAATAAAATATCAGAAGATTTAATTGCCTGTGTTCTTCAGCTGTTGAACAGTTTAAGGAATACATAAGCAAAATTTAGAAAGCTATTCATCAGCTAATGAGCTAGTTAATCAGCTAATGACAGGTCCCATTCTAATGAAATGCAGGGTTCTCTTCCATTCCTAGAATCCAGAAGTGCTAGCAAAGACAAATGTGCTGTGCAATTGAACTTGAGGAAAACAAGGATCAACATAAAAAAATGAACAAATGTGAAGTCTGCATTCAACAAGGATAAATGTTTGATGTGTGGAAGGACTGTAGAGGCAGCAGTAGCCAGAGGGATCTCTAGTGCAGTCTGGCAGTGATCACTGATCACTTGTGTAACTGTTTGAATTCCTGAACCACTAAAGATGGAGAAGAACAGAGATAATTACATCATTGCCCCCGAACTGCTGTTATTATTTATGAAGCATAATAGGCAGTGGTGATGATTTATGGGTAATGTAAGAATGTTCTAAATGATCAGTCTGTCACCTCACAGCAATTTTGCCAGGTATCTAACAATTACTAAGATTTGGGGACTTTTAAAGCACAAAGGATTCTACAGCAGAGAGTGAAATCTGCCTTGGCTCGCCTTAATTGAGGTGAAGTGAACTGACAAATTGCAAATGGTTTGATAGTCAGACATTTTAGTAGTTGCTTGCTGACCTAGGAAATCAATTGCTTCTACTGAGACCAAAAGTAGTCATCACTTTTGTCACCTTTAAGGTGTTTGTTTGTTTTGTTTTTGATTTTGTATATAGTTTAGCTGAGGACAGCTTCTCTGCTGATTAAATGGACAAAGTTTTTTGCAGTTCTGTTGGCTCAGATGGGCCTGAAAAGAAAAGCAGCTTTTCTAAAGCAAGCAGGGAAATGCAAGCATTTTCAGATTTTCTCTGAATTGGAAACATCTGAAGTGTAAGAATTTCAATAGCTTCACACTGTGACAGACTGTAAGGTTTTTAAAAGACACAGAGCAGTTGAAGTTAGACTGTATTTGGCTCTTCTGGGTAGTTCAGAGGAGCTGAAAAACTATGGGGTTTCCTATGCCAAGAATGTCCCTGGTGAGGAAATTTCTCACCTGGTATTGGTGGCTTTTCTCCCATCTCCTCCCCTTGCGTCCCCATATGCACACTGCACCTGAGTGCAGGTAGTGAGTTGGGAGGAAAAGGGGTAGTGGGAAAAAAATACAGCAGCTGAGAGTGATGCTCTCTGCCGTTACAGAGGTGAGATTCAAGGGAGCACAATTTCTCTCAAATTCAGTGCTAGCACTGAAATTATGGTAGGGGTGAGTTTTTGCCCAAGTAAAAGTGGAGCAAAAATCTCCCTTCATAGTCTATGTTGCTGAAAGTGGAAAAAGAAAAGCAACATTGAAACTTTTCTCTGTCTCTGAAGAATTCAGACAGTGGGTTGTGGGTGGGGTTTTTTTGCTTTTGTTTTGTTTGGGTTTTTTTTCTGTGTGAAGCTTACTATCACTATAGCCATGTTGTGTAATGCTTTCTGAAGTGTGAAGGATGAACTATTTGCTTTCTTTTCTTCAGATTGTTATCATGGAAGTGCAAGGTTTGAAGTCAGTCGCCCCCAATCGGATTGTCTATTGCACCATGGAAGTGGAGGGGGGTGAAAAGCTTCAGACAGACCAAGCAGAAGCTTCCAGGCCACAGTAAGCTACTCTGCTTCACTGCATACAACATCTATTTCCTTCATATCATGGCAGAAACTATAGCTTGTATGGTTTTTACAATTTAAGTTAGCACTGGTTTATTCTAGTGCTGTGTTTATTTTGTGTTATTACCTTAAATTCTTTCTCAAAAATTCTAATATTCATATTATTTATTTATGGTGAAGTAAATATCAAGTCCAGAAAATGACATTGAATGTATGTGTGAGGGAGTTGGAGACTAAAGTCTGGAAATACAAACCTCTTGAAAGACAGTAGCCCAAGGTGATCTTATGTATTCTAGGTTAGCGTGGCGGAGGCTCTGTGGAGTATAACTTGTGCCATTGGTGGAAAATCAATACTCAGTAATCAGTCTTGACAAAGCTTACTCACCTGCTGAGCCTATTTCATTTTAAATTATAGGATCCACTTCTTCCAATTAATTTTTGAGGGAGGCAGTCAGCAAACTGACTTGCAGGGGAAAGCATCATGCCATCTGTAGCTGAGTGGCGTAGAGGAAGAAAATTAGGTGTGTTTTTTTTGTTGATTTGTTTGACCTACACACTGACTTCAGACACTTTTCTCTCTGTTAAAATGTCATTTGGAATCTTTTGTAGATACCTTTCCAGACAGTGAGCTGGGGTTTTACTGGCACCATAGTGTGCCTTGCGAAAATCAATTTAAAAATTGCAGTTGTTACAGTATCTGAGTAAACATCTTCAAGTGAGTTGGGATGGTAGCTTCTGTTCCATTCGCACCACAGATACAGACCTCTGACAGGCAAAATTATAAGCACAGAGTATATGCCTCTTCTGGGGTTTGGGGAGGAGGAGATCTTGTTCGGTAGACCTTCTCCTAGCTGTACTGTCAGAGGAAATGTTCCTGACAAATAAGCCAGCAGCCTGCTATAGTAGCATATTCAGATGAGCTTTGCAGAACTCAAGGACATGAGGTAATATGTAAAATTCTTTTGACTCTTTCTCTGCCATGTGCTCCTTCTCCAGGGTCTGGAGTAGATGGAGTCAGTATGAGAACAGCTATAGCATTTGTGTGAAAAGTGGTAGGGTTGGGACCTGATCTGAGTTTGTAAACTGATTTAGAAGATTTCACGCTCAATACAGAAATTGGAAGAAAGACTGGCTATAGGCTATTCCATATAAGGGTTGCTGTGTGTATAAATTTCATATGGACTTGTATGGAAAAAAAAAAAGCATCCTTAGGAAGTAGAGGACTGTGAGATGCCCTGAACTGTTCAGAGCTGTAAGAATGTAGGTGAGATTTACTGGTGCTGTTGTTCTGATATCCTACAAAGCTGTGTCATTTAAAAGGGTGCAGCTGATAGAACTCCAACATGTATCTGGTTCTTGTGCTGAGTCATAGTGTTTTCCATTATGCTGACGAGACTGGCAAACAGTAGGCCTAAGAGTATAGAGGCAGATGTAGTTTTTGAGCTTATACGGAGATGTAGTTTGATGCAACAGAGGAGGATATTGAATTAGACAAGCATGAAATTAGCAAATTATGGGCAAACAGTAGAGAAGATGGAGGAAGCTGCCTATGGAATTGGAGGTCTTTTATTCCATGGTTTCATCTTTCTGTTACAGCCAAATCAGGCTACCTTGGCAGTAGCTGTATTGCTCTTTTGGTTGGTGGCAAAAGGGAACTAAAAGGCTTGGCAGAGATTTATCAGGAAATTTTACAGGTGAGAGAGAGCCTAGAAAGTGTTGTTATAGGTAGGGAGGGGCCCTCAGTTTTTGGAGGACTGTAAGGTGTCTCTTCTTTCTCTCTCCTATTGCAGCCTGTTTTCAGTTCTTCTAAGACCTTTCTTCCCACTATGTCCAACACACCCTTCATTTCAAGCAGTTGTCTGACTACTTTTATCTCCCCACACTCAGGACAATTTCTTGATAGGGGTCTGCTGAAGGAGGAAGGGATGGATGAAGGGTTGGATGTTCTGCAAAGTGAAGGTGCTGGAAGAGGTGGAAACAAAAGTGACATTCTGCTTCTATTGATGTTAGTTGTGGCACTGCTGCTACTTGCTTTTCCCCTCAGCCCCTTGGCAGCAGGAGGGAAAGCTGCATGAGTAGAAGCCCACGAACAGACAGACCGTCTCGCTTCTCATACAGGAAAACCAAGCTGTCTGTGCCCCAGGGCATGCCCACTTCACCTGCTGCTGGGGCTGATTGCTTACTGGGATAATTTCCAGTACCACCGTTCAGATATAAAGGAAAATAATCAGTGAGGCTGAAGGAGAAAACACAAAATTCATTGTGAGAAGAAGCTGAGAATCGAGAAGAGCTGAATTTCATCGTGGCTCTTCAAATCACTAACAGTAACACATTTACACTGACAAACCCCAGATAAATGAGAACATAACTTCATATTTTATATAGAATGTGCAGCTAGAAAAGGGTAGCAAAGCTCCTCTACTACGAGTAGATTAAGCAGTGATGGAAAATGAATTTTTCACTAGCCGAGGAGAACTGCTAGCAAGAGCTCCAAATCATGCACTTGTCGCAGGCATTTTCTGGAGTTGTATTAAAGCTGGTGGATACATTTGTAAAGAGAAGCAGTGAGAGCAGCCTTTATGTCTCTTTTCTTTTTTTTTTGTCTGTGAAGCATCAGTGTACAAAGTGCAGTGCTGGTTCTCAGTGAAAAGCAGAAGACTGGGAATTCAAATGAGTGGTTCAAAATGGAGTGCAAACCAAGTGACCTTACTGTGCAGATTAATAGAGGCATGATTCAAGTGGAGCCTGATTTCAGGATTTATTTACTTTCAAAATGCTGAATATTTCACTTCATGGCTTTTTAGATATGTATTTAATTATCCTTCTGAATCCTTGAATGTTTCCATGAGAGTAAGAAGGAAATTAGAAAAAAAATATTTGTCATTGAAGTGAAAAGGTCCAAGAAGAGTCCTAGAGAATAAAAACTCAGTTTGTCAGTAAGAATTTTTTTTCTGGTTTCTTAGTGCTTTTAACCCCTGCATGATTTTTGTCTCTGATAAGTATTTATTTAAGTTTGTATTGAAGTGCTCCATCTTTATCAAGCTGAATGAAGCTGCTTCTGTGTGTGCTACTGAGCAGTTAATGATTGTTCTCATGCAAATGCTATAAAATAATATAATTTGACTGAGCTTAAGTCTTGGACAGTTACACAAACAGAGCAGTTGCACAGCTTCCAATTCCTATGAAATATTCTTCATTCCTTCCAACTGTTTCTAGCCTTTTAGCCCTGCTGAAAATCCCTCCAACAAAGCTTGTGACCTTTTCTGGCAGACATCAGTAACAGAGCCTTCAGAGGACCCCCTTCAGCTCCAGGACTCTTTGCATCATTTTGTTGCAGTGACTCCACAGGGGGTGTCTTGTAAAATCCAGCACTAATTTCATTCTTCAAATGTTACTGTTGTGGCTGTTTTCAGTCGTGTGGAGTCTGGTGTCCGCATGTTTTCTTATCATTGATTTTACTCATTCTGAATATTAAATAGGGCCATTTCTTGGAAATGTTATCTCCTGGATATGGACAATCATGTCTAAAAATAGAAGTTGGGAATATGTTGTTTTTACTGCTAAAGTTGCTAATCTGTTGTCAGATGTTTATGAAGAAGGAAAAGATCCTGTCTGACACGATGAGAAAATTTTGATGCAGCAAGCATCGTGTAAACAGGACAAACAAGATGATAATTTCTGACTGTATAACCTTGTAAAAATGGCTGCTATATTAGAAATATGTGAAGAATGTGTGATTAAGTGTCTGACCAGTGGAGGCGGGGAACCTCAGTCAAGACTGCACGAGTAAAATAAATGCTGCCCACTTTCTTTTTATACAGTATTGTACCAACATTAATTCCATAAAGTATTTGAAGTGTGACAATACTTGCAGACATATAATCAAAGATTATTTAGTATGATTTTATAGAACGATGTTGTTTTTTTTTTTTTTAAGAGGAAAAATAAAAGCTTAATTTCCAAGACTTAGAACTACCTGAAATGACATGATCACTCTTAAAAAAAACATGAATCTTTTTAATGTAATTTGTTGGTGATATTTTCATGAGTTGACCTAAGATGTCCCTATGGGGACAGGCTGAATTCTGGGTCTCTTCAGCCGGGAGAAGAGAAGGGTCTGGGAGAACCTTACAGTGGCCTTCCAATACCTGGAGGGGCCTACAGGAAAGCTGGGGAGGGGCTTCGTGTAAGGGGATGTAGCAGCAGGATGGGGGGAAATGGTTTTAAACTGGGAAATCCTTTTACAAATATATCAGTGGCAAGAGAAAACCCAAGGATAATCTCTGTCCTTTAATTGATGCAGCAGGGAATGTGACCACAGATGACAAGGAGAAGGCTGAGGTCCTCAACGCCTTCTTTACATCTGCCTTTAATAGTCAGACCAGCTATCTTCTGGGCACTTTGTGCCCTGATCTGGATATCTGGGCTGACATGCAGCATATCTCCCTGGAGATCGAGGTGGAGACAGTTAGAGAGCTCCTCCTCCACCTGGACAGTCACAAGTCCATGGGACCGGATGGGCTTCATCCTAGGGTGCTGAGGGAGTTGGCGGGGGTGATCGCTAAGCCGCTCTCGGCTATCTACCAGCGCTCCTGGTCGACTGGAGAGGTTCCAGAGGATTGGAGGCTTGCTGATGTGACTCCCATCTACAAGAAGGGCCGTAAGGAGGATCCGGGGAACTACAGGCCTGTCAGCCTGACATCAGTGCCAGGGAAGGTCATGGAACAAATCCTCCTGGGAGAGATCACACAGCTTGTCCACGGGATCAGGCCCAACCAGCACGGGTTCATGAAAGGCAGGTCGTGTTTGACCAACCTCATCTCCTTCTACGACTGGGTGACCAAACTGGTAGATGAGGGAAAGGCAGTTGATGTAGTCTACCTAGACTTCAGCAAAGCCTTTGACATGGTCTCACACAGTATCCTTCTGCGGAAACTGGCTGCCCGTAGCTTGGACAGTTTTACCCTCCGTTGGATAAGGAACTGGCTGGAGGGC